CGCTTGCACGAACAATGAGATATCCCGAAAATTTTAGGAATGTTCTGAAATCTTCAGGAGCATTGTAGAGCCTTCCATTAAGATTTATGGAAACCAGTAAAATATTTAGAAAATATAGGCAACTTGAAAAAAAAATAACCAACCACGGGGAGGTACGGGAGTTTCAAATAAGTTTCACAAATAGGCACCGATGAAGTAGTGGTAAGCATGATTACCTCTCACCCAAGCAGGCCTGCGTTCAATCCCAGTCGGCGCCACCAGGATGTTCTGAGGCATAACATCTCTGATCACGCCTTCCTTCGCAAGGGAAGTAAAACCGTTGATCTCCGGTTCATGAGTTGATGGGTCGATAGGTAGGGTCTAGGTGTGGGAGCTGCCTCCCTGGCGTCGGAAGCATTGGTGCTCAGCACGGAAAACATGATCGACGGAAAAAAAAATCAAGGAAAAAAATAACATCGGTCCCTGTTCCACAATCTAGTGTCAATCACCGACGAACATCGATTGCCATCCATTGACGACAATCAAATGTGCAGGGAGGCAGCTTCCACACCTGCGTAGGATATCGCAACCATCAACATATATGGGCCGGGCCTAACGGCTTTACTTATATTCCGAAAGAAGACGTGTCCAGACATTTCGATGCCTCAGAAAAATCCCACTGACCCCGGCTGGGATTGGGTATTGCAGGAACTTTAAAAAAATACTGAGAAATTCTGCGAAGTCTGTTGGGCATCAGGAGAGCACGGTAAATAGCAGAACGGTTCGAATGTTAAGGAAGTTTTATGATTTTAATGAATTGGTTTTGATAATTTAAGGGCAGTTCCATGAACTTCGGAGTAATTTCGAGAACATCAATGAAAATCTAAGAACTAAATTCATTATTAAGATCTATTTAGAGCAGTTCACGAACTTTATAGTAGTTTAGAAAACCTTTGGAATTATCCGAGAACTTCAGGGAAAATCCGAGAGCTTCAAGGAATTTAACTGAACATCAGGAAATTGGAAGCATTTCCATTAATTAATCCAAGATCATTGCAGCTCCATCAATTTAAGGAAAAACGCGATAAAAATGAAAATTAATTTTAGAACCTTTACATTTTTGTGGAACTACATTATACCATGATAATTATATAGATCTGAGATTGCAAAGTTTTCCGAAATCTCCAAATTTTACTGGAGATTAAATCTTAATGTGCTACAACCCCAGCATAGTCTTGCCTTCCTGAGGGTTCATCACATAATCTGAATCATAAGTTGGATTAGAAAAATTACTTAGGTTCTACCAAATACCAGGAGTTCTAGTCTTGATATTTTTAAAACTCGTGATGATGAAACAAAAACTAAGTTCATAGAAATGTAAATTTATCATTTATCATAAATTTATCAATTATTTTATAAACCACCCCTGGATCAATATTGCTAAATAGGCTCGCCTAATTCAACATAGCAGTTTTCCCGGATAATACGTATACAGTCAAGATTCCTATAGTACGGATTCGTTCTTGCCGGATTCCTATAGTACGGTTACCCCTGGATTCCTATAGTGCGGTCGATCCGGCATTAACGAATACACGTAGCATATGGGATTTGACCTAATTGGGACCAAACACTGATTGTAGGGTAATTTGAAGAGATAACTTCCTGGTGTCTTCTGAACAGTTATTAAACAGAATTTAGCATCCGGAAAGTCACAAGTCTGGTCCTGTGGAAGACCTGGAACATCCGTAAAAGTGGTCAATTCATGAAACTAATCCTAGAGCTCCGCGGTTTTTTCGAAACCGCTCATAGACGTTTTATCAGAATGAATTCGGAGTTGTGACCTGAATATGAACCCAGAGGACCACGGGATGGTCCACCGGAAGATCCGGAACATCCGTAAAAGTGGTCAATTCATGAATCTGATCCTAGAACACCGCGGTTTTTTCGAAACCACTCCTAGACATCTTATCAGAATGAATTCGGAGTTGTGACTGGAATATGGACACTGGAGACCACGGGATGGTCCACCGAAAGATCCGGAACATCCGTAAAAGTGGTCAATTCATGAATCTGGTCCTAGAGCTCAGCAGGTTTTTCGAAATCCCTCCTAGACATCTTATCAGAATGAATTTGAAATTGTGAGTGGAATATGGACACTGGAGACCACGGGATGGTCCACCGGAAGATCCGGAACATCCGTAAAAGTGGTCAATTCATGCAATTTATCCTAGAGCTCCGTGGTTTTTTCGAAACCTCTCTTAGACGTCTTATCAGAATGAATTTGAAGTTGTGACCAGAATATAGACTCTACGAACTACGGGATGGTCCTCCGAAAGATCCGGAGCATCCGTAAAAGTGGTCAATTCATGAAACTGATCCTAGAGCTCCATGGTTTTTTCGAAACCTCTCGTAGACGTCTTATGAGAATGAATTTGGAGTTGTTACTGGAATATACACTCCGCGGACTACGGGATGGTCCTCCGGAACATCCGGAACATCCGTAAAAGTGGTCAATTTATTAAATTGATCCTAGAACTCCACGGTTTTTTCAAAACCGCTCGTAGACGTCTTATCAGAATGAATTTGGAATTGTTACTGGAACACAACTCCCAATTCATAATGATAAGACGTCAATAAGCTGTTTTGAAAAAAATTGGATCAGTTTCATGAATTGAACACTTTTACGGATGTTCCGGATCTTCCGGTGAACCAATCCGTGTTTTCTACGATTAATATTCCGGTCACAACTCATAACATTCTAATAGGACGTCTTTAAGAGATTTCGAAAAAAACCGCGGAGCTCTAGGATCAGTTTCATGGATTTACCACTTTTAAGGATGTTCCGAATCTGCCGGAGGACCATAACGTGGTCCCCAGGGTTCATATTACAGTCACAACTCCAAATTCATTCTAAATAGTCGTCAATGAGAGGTTTCGAAAAATCTGCTGAGCTCTAGGATCAGATTCATGAATTAACCACTTTAACGGATGTTCCGGATCTTCCGGTGGACCATCCCGTGGTATCCAGTGTCCATATTCCACTCACAATTTCAAATTCATTCTGATAACATGTCTAAGAGTGATTTCGAAAAATCCGCTGAGCTCTAGGATCAGATTCATGAATTGACCACTTTTACGGATGTTCCAGATCTTCCGGTGGACTATCCCGTGGTCCCCTGGGTCCATATTCCACTCACAATTTCGAATTCATTCTGATAAAACGTCTATGAGCGGTTTCGAAAAAACCGCGGAGCTCTTGAATTAGTTTCATGAATTGACCACTTTTACGGATGTTCCGGGTCTTCCGGAGGATCAGGCTCTTGACGTTCCGGATGCTAAATGTTCCCAAAAGGTGGCAAATATTCTGTTTAATAACTTTTCACAAGACACCAGGAAGTTATCTCTTCCAATTACCCTACAATAATAGTTTGTCCCCAATTAGCTCTAATCCCATATGCTACGTGTATTCGTTAATGCCGGTTCCTATAGTGCGGTCCCTATTAACCGTACTATAGGAATCTTGACTGTATTCGTTAAAAGTCAGGAACACAGTACAAACTTTTCGGGGTGGACAATTTCTCGATTTTTCTCGGCGTAGAGTATGATTGTACTTGTCACGCCAAATAAACCTATTCAAAATTGTACACGCTAAGAAAGCTTTCAATTAACAACTATGCAAGTGCTCAAAGAATACTAAATTGAAGACCGGTTTAAAATACCAGTGGGGACGTAATACAGCCAAAATAAGATCATAAAATTGTATCCTTCCTGACAACATCTACAACAGACCGTGTCATAACAAATAATCTCAAACGATCGGAAGATGGCGACGGAGACATTCCACTCTCCACCATCATCCGTCCTCCATCGTTGGTTGGATGGTGTTTACCTAGAATTAGCAATTGCTGTTTGTCTTTTAATCTTCAATAAATAAAGTAATTAATTTGCCAAGCATCGTGTCTCTTCGGAAGAAAGCTGCTTTGCTACATTTCACTTCTGTTTCCACAGTCCACAGATGACAAGCTATAAAACTGTGTGGGTTGAAATAAAGGTTTGTTTTACTTGACGATTGTTTTGTGTTATTTAATATATTGGAATGAGCTTTTGTATGTAATTAAATTCGTTTGCTGTACAAACTTATTCGATTCAACGATATCACAAATAGTTCCGTAGAACAGTATTATGCACACTCAATTTGAATCATTAAACAGCAAATTCGCCTCTATCAAAAAGTAACGTCTCTGTTCCATCGTGAACGAACCGGTAGGAAGCCTACTTCCCGGAGTACGTCTGTTATACTCACTGCCAATCTTCTATCCATAACACACCAATCGCACACTCATCGACTATCTCCGACTGATCCGGGGGGGAGGGCAATCTATAGGCAATGACAAAAGCAGCAACAAGGACGACACAGGTGAATCTTCTTCAAACTTGTTGTAGAAGGTAATAATAGAAAATGTGCTTCAAAGTTTCAACCGCTTCCGTCGCCGCCCACTCCCTCAAGAAGGACAAGTGGGCTCCACCAAGCTCCGTGCAGTCCGTTACGAGATCAGAATAAAATATGCATTCGGTTTAGTTGGAAAGTGGAAAACATACTTCAAAATTTAATAAATATATTTTCCATTGTAGTCAGCTTCCTGACTCTGTTCTTCTGTCTGCTGTGCAGCCCAAGAGTAATACATGGGAGGAAAGCTAATCGATGCACATAAATGTTACCATGATGACGAAGATATTATGATGATACATCACATTCGAGTGCGGCAAAAGGATGCTGTATCAATATCAATATAATAATAATGGTTTGCATCTTGATGAGAAGAGGTTGCGAACGAGGGAGTCATTCAAGACGATACGATACGGATGATGATATTGATGGATGTTTCTTGTAAGGTTTCCACATATAAACAAGTTCATTGTGCTGTGAAATTGAATTATTTTGCTGGTGCTGCTTTCGAAGTACATTCAAATTAAAACGCAGCATTCTCAGTCAGTCAGTCAGTATTTATTTGTGAAATTTAGTTGCAATTCAAAATGTACTAACAAAGTTGAATACTCTAGCGAGTATTTTAATACAATTATCCTTCTTGGAATCTCCCTGATCTTTGGTGGCTTAGAGGTTAACGTGACTCAATAAATTATCAATAAATAGTCAATAAATAAATAAATAAATAAAACGTCACCTAACTATTTCTTCAATCACGGCTGAACATCCCGAAAAGCAGAGGGGAAATTGGATGGGAAAGTCATCACCAGGACCGGTGACTGCTGACCAAATCCACCGGGTCGTTGGACTGGAATCTGCTGCACTGGAGGTCGTTGACCGAAGGGGAGTGGATTGGGCTGTTGTGTTTGAAACATTGGGAATGTTTGCACCGGAAACTGACCGAACTGTGGTCGTGTTGGAAACTGTTGCGGGAACTGCTGTGGAAACTGCTGGGGAAACTGTTGAGGGAACTGCTGGGGGAACTGCTGTGGGAACTGTTGTGGGAACTGCTGTGGGAACCGATTTCCCCCAGGGAGCTGCTGAGGAAATCCCGGGAACATCGGGAACGATTGCATCGGATCCTGTTGAGCAGGTCGCCTGCGGTTAGGTGCAAATAGCTCCACATCCGGATGCAGAGGAATCGACTGATCGGCTAGTATGTCATTGATGGCAATGTCATTTGTCAGATCGATCGATCCGGTTGGTGCTGTGGGATTTTCGTCAAATTGGTTCTGATTGCGAACGGGATAACGGTTGATGCCATTGACACCGACTACGATTCGTTTCCGATCGTCCTGGTTCTGTCTCCATTCGTCCGGAGAAAAGTAATCATCCGTTTGTTCAGCCGAACTGACGTCTTCCCGGTCCTTCGTGGGATCGTTGGCCAGGATGTTTCGTTCCACAGAGTCCGATTCCGAATAGAAGGATTTCAGTACGGCGTTCATAAGGTCATCTTCGTCCAATTCGTGCTCAGATAGAGTGTGTTCCTGTTGAATGAAATAATGTTTTGGGATAAGTTCATTTGAAAGTTATGATGAGTTATTATCGATTACAATTTTCTTTCATGGAAATTATCGAAATTGATACCGAGTGTCTTACTTGTTATGCAAACTAAAAAAAAACACAATTTAGGTTTTCAATATTACAGTTTACTCGACATTTTTTTGTATTAGGATAAGTTGGGGATAAAGTTCGAGTGGGGTAAAAGTTCGTTTTGAGGTTTTTGAAGCCTGTGCAATATGAAACTCAAAGACTTGTTTGGAAGGTCATTTATAACTAGAATTTCCGCCAAAAAATCATTACAATTTATGATATTTTCGATAAGTTATAGGCAAAAGTTTGATTCGATGTTTGATAAATTATAACATTTGTACCAACTTTGAGGGCGTAGAACAAGAAAAATATGAGTGAAAAGATCAATTTGTTCCAGGGCATGATTGCGTTTCTCTTGAATGAAGTAATGAAATTTGTCTGGTTAGCGGAATTCTTAAATAAAACAGCAAAAAAAGTTATCTTCCATTTGATTTTGGTATCCATGACAGATACGTAATTCGACTACAATTAGCAGTATTCATCAGTGTCAATCCCACTAAAGACTTATCAAAATCTAACCCCCTTAAGTATTCATCCCTTACGTAAAAATGTCAAGACCACAGACGGGAACAAATCAAAAATCCGAAATGAGACAAATGACTCATGATTTCATGAACATAGCGTATGTTCATGTTATGAAAATACACCATGAATAATATTCATGATAGCGTGTGCTATGGTTGCGTAACGCACCCAAGATTCCCGAAATCATGAATTATCCTAGTTAAAATCATGAACTAAATTCCTGATTTTAACTTTTAGTTTTTAAACCAAAACATATGAAAGAATAAAATAAAGCAACAGACTGGATTCGAACCATGAACCTTACGATCATTAAACCCATACTTTGACCACTAGCACCCACTAGACTATCAGTAGGAAGGCAAAAGGCATATAAGAGATACTTATGTAGTGCGGTGAACACGGTTTTCTGGGTAACGCTTGAAGCGGTCATGATTCCACTGTATTATGAAATCATGAATTTCCATAACGAAATCATGAATCATTATTATGATTTCATGGGATGGCAAGTTTTTTTATTTCATGATTTTTTAATCATGAAAATGGAATCGGATTTTTTTTCCCGTGCAGGTATACAAATGAAACTACAATCTGTAGAATCGGAACCTACCTAACTAAAAAAAAAAGATTTAAGTAAAGTAAAGGAGAAAATAACTCTTTAATAAGGAAAAACATCCAAAAGTACATAAAGGGTGATACGGTCAAAATTTGGTCAATATCAACTTGACGTATTTCTTTCAATTTTGCATTTAAAAAACCTGAACACCCCTCATTTTGAAGGTGTGTGTGTGTGTGTAGAATGTTGCTCCTATTTTGATTTTGGAATTCACTCTTCAGTTGTCAAAATGCCGTCCAAGCAAGAAGAGCAGCGTATCAAAATTTTGCTCGCGCATCGCGAAAATCCGAGCTACTCGCACGCAAAGTTGGCAAAATCGCTAAAAGTTGCCAAATCAACCGTTACAAATGTAATTAAAGTGTTTGGGGAACGTTTGTCGATAGCCAGGAAGTCTGGATCGGGGGAAAATCGAAAACCGGAAGCCGCTGAGACGACAAAGAGAGTTGCCGGTAGTTTCAAGCGAAACCCTAACCTCTCTCTCCGAGATGCCGCAAATAAGCTGGGTGTATCGTCTACAACCGTGCATCGAGCCAAAAAACGAGCCGGACTATCGACTTACAAGAAGGTAGTGACTCCAAATCGCGATGATAAACAAAATACGACGGCCAAAGCACGATCCCGGAGGCTGTACACGACGATGCTGACGAAGTTTGACTGCGTGGTAATGGACGACGAAACCTACGTCAAAGCCGACTACAAGCAGCTTCCGGGACAGAAGTTTTATACGGCAAAAGGAAGGGGAAAGGTAGCAGATGTTTTCAAGCACATGAAACTGTCAAAGTTCACAAAGAAATATCTGGTTTGGCAAGCCATCTGTACCTGTGGCTTGAAAAGCAGCATTTTCATAGCTTCCGGGACTGTCAACCAAGAAATTTACGTGAAAGAGTGTTTGAATAAACGTCTGCTGCCTTTCCTGAAGAAACACGGTTGTTCCATACTGTTTTGGCCGGATTTGGCATCTTGCCATTACGGTAAAAAGGCCATGGAGTGGTACGCCGCCAACAACGTGCAGGTGGTTCCCAAGGACAAGAACCCTCCCAACACGAACGGCGCCGGTGGTGTAGTGGTAAGCGTGATTACCTCTCACCCCAGCAGGCCTGGGTTCAATCCCAGTCGGCGCCGCCGGGATGTTCTGAGGCATATAACATCTCTGATCACGCCTTCCTTCGGATGGGAAGTAAAGCCGTTGGTCCCCGGTTCATGAGTTGATGGGTCGATAGGTAGGGTCCAGGTGTGGGAGCTGCCTTCCTGGCACGTCGGTAGAATTGGTGCTCAGCACGGAAAACAAGATCGACGGAAAAAACAAACCAAAGGAAAAAAAAAAAAACCCTCCCAACACGCCAGAGCTCCGCCCAATTGAGAAATACTGGGCTATTGTCAAGCGGAACCTAAAGAAGACCAAAAAACTGCTAAGGGCGAGCAGCAGTTCAAGGCAAACTGGCTTTCTGCGGCGAAGAAGGTGGACAAGGTGGCTGTACAAAATCTGATGGCAGGGGTCAAGCGTAAGGCCCGGCAATTCGGATTTGGAAAAGCGGAAGCCTAACTGAATATTTTTCCTGAATTTTATACTAATTGAACTTGAAAAAGAAATTTAATTTGATTTTTTAAATAAACGATTTCACCGATTTACACGCGTTTTCCCTTGACCAAATTTTGACCGTATCACCCTTTACTGAAGTAATGAAATTAGGTTGCTAGTGGAATTCTTTTTACTTATTTTTTGACGTAGGACTACGTCTGTGATTTCTATATGGGGGTACCCTTTGTGAAAACCGAAAATGGAACATGTAACAAAATTATGAAAGATTTTGAACGTTGATATCTCAGCTGCCCCTGGACCAATTTCAATAATGTTATCACCATTCGATTAGAAATATTTCTACGCATCTGTTAAAATTAAAACTTCATCATTCTTCAAAATGTCACTACTAAAAACTGCACGAATGTGCAAGTATTGCTATGGTTATTAAAATTATCACCGATTACCTGCGAAAATCGATTTCCCTAACATAGATTTCAGAGCTCCTGGAGCTAAATCCTCAAACATGTTTTATTACTTTGTACTACCTATATTTAACACAGGATGTCAGCCCTTCAAGAAATATTCCCAATCGTGTAGTCTTCTCCGATTTCGGCAATTCAGTGAATTTTAATTTATCTATGACGCAGGAAATCCGCGGAATTCCAGAGCATCATCGTCCTATGATTGCTCCGTCATTATACTCTGCAAAGTTTGGCCATGTTGATTCTGCAAGAACGTTTTTCACAGATGGATCTCTAATAGAGGAGTCCTCTGGTTTTGGTGTATTTAATGAATTTCATAGCGCCTCTCGAAAACTTGAAGCTCCTTGTTCTATATATGTGGCTGAACTGGCAGCAATTCACTACACTTTGGAAACTATTGCTTCACTTCTTCCAGACCACTACTTTATTTTTACAGATAGTCTCAGTTCTGTCGAGGCTATCCGTTCCATTAGGCCGGTAAAGCACTTATCGTATTTTCTCTTGAAAATACGAGAGCTGCTTAGTGCTTTATCCGTGCGCTCTTTCATCATCACCTTCGCGTGGGTCCCTTCGCATTGCTCAATTTTGGGCAATGAGAAGGCGGATTCACTTGCGAAGGTGGGCGCTATGAAAGGCGACATTTATGATTGACAAATCGCCTATAGTGAATTTTTCTCTATTAATCGTCAGCAGTCACTCGTTAGCTGGCAACGTCAATGGAGGGAAAGGAGTTCGGGACGATGGCTACATTCAATTATCCCTAAGGTGTCGAAGTTTGCATGGTTCAAAGGGTTGGACTTGGGTCGAGACTTCATACGCGTGATGTCTCGTCTCATGTCCAATCACTATTGTCTAAACGCTCACTTGTTCCGTGTGGGGTTGGGAGACAGCAATCTCTGTGAATTTGGATAAGGTTACCAGGACGCTGATCACATCCTTTGGTCTTGTGCGGAGTATCGTGGAGTTAGATCACATTTTTATGATTCCCTTCGGGCTCGAGGTAGACAACCTAATGTTCCAGTTTGGGATATTTTGGCTAGACGCGATCTGGAGTTTATGAAACTCATATATGTTTACTTTAAGGATATTAACCTTAGATTGTAAGTTTGATTAACCTTGTGCTTAGTTTGTATTTTGTACGTGTGGGGTTTTTTTTCTTCAATGTTTGTTTTCAAGATGAATAGAAATAATTTCATGCTTTAGGATTAATTAAATAGTTGTATCGTAAACCACATTTCAAACCTCCTTTTTCCCTTTTCCCATCCCTTAAAATTGTAAATCTCCACTAACCTCGAGACAACCACGAGTACTCGGTCCCGTTCCTTTAACTTTAAATATAAGACAGTAATAATGTATAACGAAAAGGATAACTCGGCTCTGTAAAGTTTATTCGATTGAGCCTGTACAAATAAAGTAATTATAAAAAAACATAGATTTCAAAGCTGAATTCCATCCGGTCTCACCAAACGGTGTTTATTCAATCACCGCGTAGTGAATGGTGGTGTTCTCCAGAACACAACGAAAGGCTCTCCGCAAGCAGCAAACTATCAAGGCTGACCTCAACCGCTGATCGGATTAAGTTGTAACACCGTGTGTGGTGGTGTCCGGTCGTCAGCATTAGCAGCAGTGCTTTCGGCGTCCATAGAAGGAGGAAGAAGCTGCACTGCTATTGATCGGAATCAGAAGCTCTTCGTGAGTCACTGTGGGCCATCTTTGTCAAGCGCTACATACTAAAGAGTATGAACAGAGAGA